GGGGGGGCGGGGGGGGGGGCGCCTAGTGGTGTGGCCTTCAGCCCAGTCTGCCCCCTCTCCAATCTGGGACCCCTAGAAGGATTTCCAACTGCCCATTTAGGCCCCGATTCCAGTCGGACATCCCTCTCACAATCCAGGGATACTTGTTTCAACCACTCACCTGCCAGCCTGATTGACACCTTAACTGCCCTCCCCTGCAGGAACTGGTCCCCCCCTACCTGCCCTCCCCTTCAGGACTGACACCCCCCAAATGCCCTCCCCTGCAGGACTGGTCCCCCCCAACTGCCCTTTTTTTGCCGGCCCAGTCACCCCTAACTGCCCTCCCCTGCAGGACTGGTCCCTCCCACCTGCCTTCCCTGGCTGACCTGATAGCCCATAACTGCCCTCCCCTGCCGGCCATCTTGTGTCCACATGGGGCGGCCATCTTGTGTGTTGGAGTGATGGTCAATTTGCATATTACCTCTTTATTAGATAGGCTTTCCCACATTTTCCATCCAACACCCACCCTGGCTTCTCAGTTCCTCATCATGGTGAAGTGGATTTGCTGTTACTGTTAAAGACAATCCCTCCGTTTGTGTTCTGGATCCTTTATCCTGTCTCCTCCTTGTGAGCTTTGCTCCATCAATTACCCTTTCTTGCTCCTATTTCATCAATTTCTCCTGTTCTACTGCGTCATTTCCATCTGTGTACAACATATTCAAGTTTCTATTTAACAAAAACTATAAAAAGTACCTTAACACCTATCCTATCCCATTTCTCTGCTCCCCTTAACAGGAAAAACGTTTCAAAGAGTTGGCTCTATCTGGAAGCTGCTTCCAATTCCTACCTCATAACTTCTCCTTAACCCAATCCAATCGAGAAACCATCCCCATCATGCCACTAAGACTATTTTTATGATATAACCAGACCTCTCTGTTTCCAAATCTAATGATGACTTTCCTGTTTTTACTAACTTCTGTCCCAAATGAAGCAGAAAGTGGAACCATTGTTTCCTTCTTGAAACTTAATTGCAAGTTAAACCATTGCTTCTTTTTTTTTTCTTTTTAAAAACATATTTTTATTGATTTTAGAGAGGAAGGGAGAAGATGAGAGAGAGAGAAACATCAATGATAAGAGAGAATCATTGATTGGCTGCCTCCTACATGCCCCTGACCAGGTGGGGATTGAGCCTGCAACCTGGGAATTTGCTGGCCTGGGAATCGAACAGTGACCTCCTGGTTCATACATAGGTCGATGCTCAACCACTGAACACACTGAGAAGAGAGAACATGAACATCTATTTAGTGCTTCTTTCTTGAAACTTCTCTTGATTTATGAGACCACACTATACTAGTTTTCTTCCTACTTCATTGACTGACCACCCCTTCTCATTTTCCCTCGATCAGCTGCCTCCTGCACATATTTGATTTCAGAGAGGAAGGGAGAGAGAGATAGAAACATCAATGATGAGAGAAAATCATTGATCGGCTGCCTCCTGCACGCCCCATAACTGGGATCGAGCCTGCAACCCAGGCATGTGCTATTTAGTGCTTCTTTTCTTGGACCCTTCAGTCTGCAGGCTGATGCTTTATCCACTGAGCCAAACCAGCTAGGGCCCCTGCTTGACTTTAGATTGTTGGGAGTACCCAGGGCTTTGTCATGAGCTCTTTTCTCTACCTACACACTCTCTGTAGGTAACACCATCCAGGACCATGGCTCTAAAAACTATCTGGGGATGGCTCCCAAATTTATATCTCTAGTCCTAAACTTTACCTGGATCCCAAATTCTATATGCAACTGGAGGACTTGACAGCTCCACACTGATGTCTGATGGACAATTCAATTTAACATGGTCAAAACAAACTCTTGATTTTGTAACCTATTCTGTTTAACAAAATGCTGAATTACTTTTCAGAGATAACAGACCAAAACCCCATGTCTTGCAGCTGAAGCATGCCCATGACACATACACACATACATATCACATTTTTTTATTCATTCATCCATTGATATACACTTAGTATGTTACCTCATCCTGGCTATTATAAATAATGCTGTAATGAACTTGGTGGTGCATATAGCTATTTTTTAAATATATTTTTATTGCCGAAACCGGTTTGGCTCAGTGGATAGAGCGTCGGCCTGCGGACCGAAAGGTCTCAGGTTCGATTCCGGTCAAGGGCATGTACCTGGGTTGCGGGCACATCCCCAGTGGGAGATGTGCAGGAGGCAGCTGATGGATGTTTCTCTCTCATCGATGTTTCTAACTCTCTATCTCTCTCCCTTCCTCTCTGTAAAAAATCAATAAAATATTTAAAAAAATATATATATATATTTTTATTGATTTCAGAGAGGAAGGAAGAGGGAAAGAGAGCTAGAAATATCAATGATGAGAGAGAATCATTGATCGGCTGCCTCCTGCACACCCCCTAACTGGGGATCGAGCCTGTTATAAGAGTTAACTATTCTTATCCATTGATTTGTTGATTTGGGAGTCATCTCTTGCTTTTAACTATCAAGTTCAAAATATTCAAACATACACTATAAGAATTAATTTTAGAAGCAAAATAAGAATGTAATGAATTTTCTATTGTTTCTTCCCATAGCTAGAAAATATCAGTAACATCTACTAAGTAGCAGTTCATTGT